TTGCCCCTTACGGCTTGTAGTGGGCGGGGACGGACACTTAAGGGGGATTATCTGACGGTAGTCTGGTGAGACTCCCCGCGGTGATAGATCGATCTAAAGTTGTGAGAATAGACCCTTAGGAGAGGCACATTTTCTTATATTCTGTTAAGACTTGTTGGTGTTTTTTCTTTTCCTTCTCTGTTTTTTCTTTCTTAATTTTCGTTTTCTTAATTTTTGAATTTGACAAATAGCAAAATGCCCAACAGAAACCTCGCAATTGTTGGTTTTTTTTCTTCTCTGTTTTTTTTTTTTTTTTTTTTTTTGGTCTTTCTTAATTTTCGTTTTCTTAATTTTTTTAATTTAACAAATAACAAAATGCCCAACATAAACCTCACAATTAACCCTTCCAAGACTTCCATATTTGTATTTCCAGATTTTTAATCTGATTCCAAGGTCATGTAAAAATCCTACATGCTAAATTCAATATAGCTACAAGCACAAAGGCATATATGAGGAAGGGACCAAAAGAAAAGAGAAAAAGTATCTGTCCTTGAACTCATTAACCTGTTGGGTATCCTTGCATGGCAAAACACACGATTTACCTTTTGAAACTATCACGTCTTGGTGGTGTACGCGTGGGAAAACGCGAGGAGACACAGGTGTGTCGGTTTTAGTGACACTTGAGTTGTGCGGAAATATGGGATATGATAAGAGACGCTGTTTGGTTTAACACCTGAGACAGGGGGTGGGGGTACTAGAAAAGACACCTTATACCCTGCGGATCAAGGCCGCTGTAGACAAATTATAAGTTTTAGTTATTAGGAAAATGTACCGTATGAAGTGGAAGTTCCCTTTGTATCTTAAAAATCGGGAACATGTTTTGGCTGTAAAGTAAATCATCTTTTCACTGTCAATTAAGTATAAAATTTTACTCTGATCAGCAAAGAGGTCAAATTTGTTGATAAAATGTCAAAAACATATAATTTAGAAGTTCAGTGCGTTCATCAATGAAAACGAACTAAGAAGTAGACCTCGTCTTCAATACAATCATATTCACATACTAGACAATTTTTTGTCCCCGTTTTCATTCTCAATAGTGCCATCCCAAGTCTCGCCTAAGCCAGCGCCCAACGGCATTCTGTGGACAAATTTGTTGTTTTTTTACATAACTACTGACTTCAAAGTCTTATTAAACAATCTAAACAAACATACATAAAACCATTTTGATATCGTTTTCCATTTGTGTTCTGATTCCAATATAATTTCAATTTAGGGTATTTTGGAGGCAGCTGTCGAGGAGAACGTTCAGTACTTGGAGACACGGACCTCACTCTCCGGCCGTTTATACGTTCTAGACTCCGATCCAAAATACACCTCCAATCACGGAAAAAGGTATATCGATACCTCGGACGGAGAGCTCGAAATCCAGCAAAGTATTCAAACGATCGATGCATTCGTCAAAAAGAATCCCCACTTTATTGGGCTACGTAAGATAGCAAACTCGTTCAGGCGTAAGACCATGCAAGAAATGTACATCGATATGGAGAAGGCCATAAGAATGCATCTCAAATACCCCAACTACATCGCAGGCTTTGACATGGTCGGAGAGGAAGACAGGGGAAACTCCCTCCTCTATTATATGGAGGACTTCCTAAAACTCTATGACAATGCTACGGGGGAAAGCCGCGTTCCGTTTTACCTACACAACGGCGAGACCAACTGGCCGGATGACTTGCTGACCGCCTCGAACGCAAACGACCCCGTCGGAACGCTACAGAACACTTACGAGGCGGTTCTGCTCGGTGCTAAGCGTGTCGGACATGGACTAGGCTACTTCAAACACCCCTATCTCTTAGACCTACTGAAACAACACCAGACTGCAATCGAAGTTTGTCCAGTTAGTAACCAATTGCTAGGTTATACGGCCGATCTGCGGAACCACCCGGCGATTAACTTCATTCGAATGGGCGTACCGGTCATACTTGGTGCGGATGACCCTGCAACTTTTGGCTATAACTATTTCACTGCAGATTGGTACGAAGCGTTTATGGGATGGGGACTTCGTCTGCCAGACTTGAAGAAGCTTGCCATTAATTCTCTGCACTACAGCGCAATGACAACGAAAGAGAAAGTATCTGCCATAAACGAAAAGTGGAAACCGGCCTATTCTAAATTCATTGCTGACATAAAGAGAGAGGCCTGCTCAATAGATTTCAGCAACACGACAAACGAGCCTTTCATCGCCAGAATTTTCCCTCGAGAAGGTCCGATGAAAGCCTCTTCCAAAATACACGTGTTTGGCCGAAACTTCGAGCAAGCTATTTGCCAGGGTGTTGTCTGCAAGTTTGACAATACAATGACTTCTGGGTCTTACGTTTCTGGCCAGCAACTTTCTTGCAAAGTACCGGACTTCAAGTCTATAGGTAAAACAGATGTTGGCAACTCGGTTCCTGTGAGGCTTAGAGTGTCTGTTGACGGTGGCGCCACCTTTCTGCCTTACAATAGCCAGTTCACATACGTTTCGGATGGCACATCAGAGCCATTTATTGGTTGAAAGTATGTTATTCAGGAAATTTGAATCAGAAAGGAAAAGAACCTACAAAGTGACTGGAAAGTTATAATTCAATTTTTGCACCTTTTGCTTAAGTATCGAACGAATAAAATACTACGTAAATCAACACCGCTTGAGTTGTTATGGTGAAACCACCATCCTCATCAATGTGGGTTTGATTAACACCATTATGTGAATTTAAGGCACGGGGGGCTTATACAGTAGCACAAATTTTAAAGTGGTTATTTTGTTACACTGGCAACAATAATATTTGCCTAGTTTTTTTTTTATGCAAAAGGTTGGATAAACTGTTTTAAAATAAAGGATGAATTATGTTTTACTGAGAATAAGGACTTTTATTTTCTGAATTTGATTTTTTTCTTTTTAGACTGATTTTTTAATTCCATTTTTTGTTTGTTTATTCGTTTATTATTATTATTATTATTATTATTATTATTATTATTATTATTTCAAATCCAGAATGGCTGTTAAACGCACATATCAGGGATTGAAGCTATTTGTTGCATATGCAATTTTTTTTTTTGCATACAGTTGACCAGCTAAACAGTTGCTTGAATAAAAACTAGCTCTGTAGCTATGGATTTTTGCCATTTGAGATATGTTTAGTATTTGCCGATAATTTTTTTCGTCCTGATGTGATAAGGCAAAAAAGAAAAATAAGTAAAGCGATAAACCGCTCCATCAACTGCCTGTAGTGGCAATGCCCCCCCCCC